AAGAACTGATGTTACATTGCTATGAATATGCCTCGCTCTCATAATCATACATCATAAATTAAGTCATTATAATTAAGCATTATTTTCTAAATAAAAAGCCTCAGTGATAAMTTAGATAATAATGTTACCTTTAATTTTTATAAGAGGTCAATTCACTCTAAATTTTAAGTTCACGGAGCTAAATTGGAACTACTGAGCGTAAAATTTGTTATGTATGACATAAACAACACATGCCGATGTGGTGTCCTCATAAGAGGAAAAGTAAACATGGTATCTCATTCTAGGGCAATRGCCATTATATTTATGGTTTTGAGTGACAGTATCCCCACAACAATGAATAAAGAATTATTTTTTTTAATATTCTTAACAATCAACAGAAGTTGTTAGCTATACATTTTCAAAATTTTGTTATTGAACATTCATATAAATTTAATAACATGACAATACAAATAGTCAACAGATCACAGACATTACCAAGGACTTATTTTTATTTTTATGATATTTCCTTAAAAAGGATAACTGATTGCATTATTCTTATCCCYATACAATGATTTAGGTACCTACCTAAGTAAGTTMTTTTTAGGATACAATTTTTATTTAAATTGATTCCTATTTTTTGTTTTTTTAGATTAAAACTGTTWACAACACAGAGGCATTTTAAAGAAAAATATTTAAAGTAATAATGTTTATCATAATTTAAAATTTTAAGTTTTTACTATTTTTGTCATTATTCTTTTTTAAAATATTTAAGACAAATTTATTCCTTATTTCAATACAAAATATTTTTTAGAGTAGGTACTTTAATAACCTATATTTTGGACAAGTAATTAAAAGCTTATAAGTTGAAAAGATTTGAAGAGTAGAGTATGATGTATACAGCTAAACAAGTATATGTTACAAAATGTTTGTCTACTAATCCGTCTAATCCACTCATCCAAATTTTAAATGCCTACCTACCAACATATAACTTTAATAATATTATAACTAGTATTAAAAAAAAAAAAATGAATCTTCTTTTAATTCAATTTTTGCATACCAATATACTTCAATAAAAATTATGATTTGGAATAAAAAATAAAAGATGTGTGTGGTCATTAAAAATATAAAAAAACATAATTGTTTTCCAACAATTTTATTTTGTAACCACTCAAAATTTTGTAAAAGAAATAGTTTTAAAATTTTTGGTTTCCCAAATAATAAAATACTATTTAGCTTTTGCTCAAAATATACTGGCCTTGTGGTATGGCATGGATGTTACAAGAAATGAAACTTACTTTACTCAATGTATTTGTTGGACCCGCTCCCAGTTCCAGCAATGGTTCTTGTAAAATAACTTGTTCCAACCTTGGTAACTACTAACTAGAACTTTAGCGCATTCTATTTCTATTTGCCAATTTTTCTTGACTAAAAATAATAATTTTAAAAACCATTAGTTAATGAGAGTCTTGATTTTGATTACCTCTATAATTTCTCATGATAATGAACTAACATATTTTTCATAATTTGTTGCAMATTTTGGAAGMAYGCAACTTTAAATTATCTTCTTAATATCACGTTTCTAATCGAAGCCACAAATTGTTCAATCCGAAATTCCTCCATATTCTACCATAAATAAAAATATTAACAGTTTAATTTTATGTATGTACAACAAAATTGAATATGGCTTTTGTGGTTAGTACTAAAATCAGTGTCGGCCTGGCCATGGCCGCTAGGCCGCAAACACGTCCGGGGCCCCCGACTGTATTTGTGTTGAGGGGCCCCGATNGTGTGTGGTCATTAAAAATATAAAAAAACATAATTGTTTTCCAACAATTTTATTTTGTAACCACTCAAAATTTTGTAAAAGAAATAGTTTTAAAATTTTTGGTTTCCCAAAATAATAAAATACTATTTAGCTTTTGCTCAAAATATACTGGCCTTGTGGTATGGCATGGATGTTACAAGAAATGAAACTTACTTTACTCAATGTATTTGTTGGACCCGCTCCCAGTTCCAGCAATGGTTCTTGTAAAATAACTTGTTCCAACCTTGGTAACTACTAACTAGAACTTTAGCGCATTCTATTTCTATTTGCCAATTTTTCTTGACTAAAAATAATAATTTTAAAAACCATTAGTTAATGAGAGTCTTGATTTTGATTACCTCTATAATTTCTCATGATAATGAACTAACATATTTTTCATAATTTGTTGCAMATTTTGGAAGMAYGCAACTTTAAATTATCTTCTTAATATCACGTTTCTAATCGAAGCCACAAATTGTTCAATCCGAAATTCCTCCATATTCTACCATAAATAAAAATATTAACAGTTTAATTTTATGTATGTACAACAAAATTGAATATGGCTTTTGTGGTTAGTACTAAAATCAGTGTCGGCCTGGCCATGGCCGCTAGGCCGCAAACACGTCCGGGGCCCCCGRCTGTATTTGTGTTGAGGGGCCCCGATATTACTAAAAATATAATATTTCACTACTTATAAGCATTTTTTATCATTTTTATTTAATAACATGTTTGGGGGCCCTTCTGAAGAAATGCATCCGGGGCCCATTAAGTACCAGGCCGACACTGACTAAAACATTACGAAGAAAACTTGGTATTTAACAATATTGTTTCATAAACACAAAACTCATATCCAAGCTACTACATTTTAGTAATAAATAAAAATAATAATAATTTACAAGATGTTGAACTTTGGGTAATATCTTGTATTCAGAGTTTATACTTTAAATTCATAACAAATTAGTAATAGTTTGTAAAGGATCAATAGATGTGTTATATTTGAATTCAATGATGAGTCATTGCAAATGGTAAATGTTTCTGAGTAGAGTTGTTGGGTCATCCCAAAATACTTGCATAATTAAATAATTTAAAAAAGAATTAATAGAATCAAAAATATCTTATAGCAATAAATAGTGTTACTACCTGTAAACTCTTTTTTATTAATGGTAAACTTATGGGATATCTTATAAGTTATATAAAAATGTCTAATGTTGGCCAATGAAAAAAATAACTAATAATAACTTCTAATTGAAAAATAATTTGCTAATTTTTTGCATTTTGATGAACTTTGTCAAAATTTGAAGTTTAAATGAATATAAAAACACTTGTGACTATATAATATTATTAATACCTTTAACTACTATTAATTATTTAACTTTCACTAATTATCAATATTGATGGATTAATATTAATTACTAAAATTGTATTATTACCATAGCTGCCATATCTAAGTCCATTAACATGGACCTTTCATCCTTAGACACAAAGCTAAATAACTTAAAAACTACTCTTCCATTTTATGATTTGGACACGATAACATTTTCAAAATTAAACTTGAAAATATACATTTTKATATTATATTTATCATATTAAATATAAATGTAAATATTGTAAAATTTAATGTAGCCATATACAAATATATAGTACACATTTCTTATTGTAACTTGTATACAATTCTATAAATTATTTTAAATAAAAATATATCATATTCTTAACGTATTTTACATGCTCGAGAAATTTTTTAAGGATTTTTTAGGGCATATAATCATCATATTTAAACTTTTAAAAACTCAAAAATCTACTCTTTAGTTATAACTATATGATAATTTATAAATTATAAAATTTTTTTTTTTCTGAATGTGAATATAGAAATACAGAGAAAAATAGAGTAAGTAA